TATGTTTCGTATGTTTCGTAAATGTTTCGTGAGTGTGCATATATATATATATATATATATGCATCGTATATGTTTCGATTATGTTTCGTAGATGTGTCGTCTGTGTTTCGTATATGTTTCGAATACGATCCGTATATGTTTCGCATACATGTTGTAAGCGTTTCGTATATGTTTCGTATATGCTTCATATATGTTTCGTATACATTTCGTATATGCTTCGTATACGCTTCGTATACGTTTCGTATATGATTCGCATATGTTTCGCATAGGTTTCGTATAGGTGTCGTGCATGTTCCGGATATGTTTCGTATATGTTCTGTTATGTTCCGTATGTGGTTCGTATTTGTTTCGTGCATGTTTCGTATATGTTTCGTATATGTGTCATATGTTTCGTATATGCTTCGTATATGTTTCGCATGTGTGCCGGGTATGTTTCGCATATGCTTCGCATATGTTTCGCAAGTGCTTCGCATGTGTTTCGCATACGCTTCGCATATGTTTTGTAAATATTTGGTTATGTTCCGTAGATGTCCCGTAGATGTCTCGTAGATGCTTCGGAGATGTTTCGTAGATGTTCCGTAGATGTTTCGTACATGTTTCGCAGATGTCCCGTATATGTTCCGTATATGTTTCGCAAATGCATCGTACATGTTTCGCATGTTTCGTACGTGGTGCGTATATGTTTCGCATATGATCCGTGGATGTTTCGTAGATGGTTCGTAGATGTTTCGGATATGTTTCGCATATGTTTCGCATGCGCTTCGCATGCGTTTCGTATACGTTTTGTATACGTGTCGTACATGTGTCGTATATATTTCGCATGCGTTTCGCGTGTGTTTCGAAAATGTGTCGTACATGTTCCGTATATGTTTCGTGTATGTGTCGTATATGTTTCGCATATGTTTCGTAAATGTGCCGTATACGTTTCGTATATGTGTCCTATATGTTTCGCATGTGTTTCGCATGTGTTTCGTATATGTTTCGTACATGTTTCGTATATGTTTCGCACATGGTTGCTATGTCTCGTGAATGCTTCGTATAGTGTCGTTTTTGTTCCGCATGCGTTTCGCACACGTTTCGCATACGTTTCGCATGCGCTTCGCATATGTTCCTGATACGGTTCGCATACGTTTCGTATATGTGTCGTGGATGTTTCGTATATGTGTCGTATATAACCCGTACATGTTCCGTATATGTTTCGTATATGTGTCGTATATGTTTCGTATATGTGTCGTCAATGTTTCGTGCATGTGCCGTATATGTCCCGTATATGTTCCGTATATGTGTGTATATGTTTCGTATATGTTTCGCACATGTTTCGTACATGTGTAAAATAGGTTTCGCATATGCTTCGCATATGTGTCGCATGTGTTTCGCGCATGTTTCGAACGTGTGTCGCAGTATGTTTCGTATCTGGTCCGTATATGTTCCGTATATGTTCCGCATATGTTCGCATATGTTCCGCATGTCTCGTAAATGCTTCGCATGCTTCGCATGTGCGTCGCACAGGTTTCGCATATGTCTCGCATGTGTTTCGCAAATTTGGTTCGTGCATATATTTCGCATATGCTTCGTAAATGTTCCGCATATGTTTCGTAAATGCACCGCACATGTTTCGCACAGGCTCCATATATGTTTCGTATATGTGCCGCAGACGTTTCGTATATGTGTCGCATATGTTTCGCATGCGTTTCGTGAATGTTTCGCATCTGGTTCGTATATGTTTCGCATATGTCTCGCAAATGTGTCGCATGTGCTCCGTATATGTTCCGCTTATGCTTCGTAAATGTGCCGTACAGGTTTCGCACAGGTTTCGCAAATGTGCCGTATATGTTCCGCAAATGTGTCGTAAATGTTTCGTATACGTTTCAAATATGTTCCGTGAATGTTTCATCTAGTTTCGAATATGTTTCGTACATGCTTCGTATATGTGTAGCACATGTTTCGTAGGTGC